GATGGAGAGGATTGTCTTGATTATTAACTGACCCATTCCCTGGACTGGGCACTGACCTATATATAAGTAAAGAGGTTAGAAGATCTATGAGCAAGCAGACAATGTGAGTCAGCCAAAGAAACACACCCTGGCCCTGAAACCAGAGCCAAAAAGTTACAAAGGGCCAGTGAAGGAAACATACTGTGGCCCTGAAACCAGAACTAAAGAAACACCCTCTGTCCCTGGCCAACTCAGCACGAAAACCAACCAATCACTAAGCACAAAAACCAACCAATTCCTGAGCATGGAATCTAGCCAATGTCTGAGCTTGTCCTAGCTCAGGGATTGAAATCTGACCAATTCCCACCCTGAAAATCCTCGCCCTACAAAAACTTCACTCCTAAGAAACCCTATGTAAGCCCTGTGCCTGTTTAGTTGTGAGCTGCCTTTTTCTATCCTGGCAGAGGCAGCCACCTCCTGGATTCCTCCCTCTGAACAAATCTCTTGAATGGGGTGTGGGTGAAGACCTTCTTTCCCAGAGTGGAGCAGCGCTCAGAAAAGTAACAACTTTCACTGGAACAGGAACAAACTGCTACACTCTGCTGGGGTTTCCCCTTTGCAGAGTGAAGCAAAGAAGAAACTTGATGGAGCAGAGTAGAGAAGCAATGGACACAGAGCTCTGCAGGGAAACTCTCTTAGCAGAGTGGAGGAGGGGAGCTATTACTGCTCCGAAAGGAGCAGGATTGCTACATTCCCGTGGGGAAGCCATCCCACCAGAACAGAGCTACAGATACAGCCTGGCTTCTGATAGCCAGGATACCTTTCCCTTCAGAACTGTAAACATTTGTTTTCTGCTAACTGTGGATGTGGTGTGACCAGCTATTGCAAATTCCTGCCCTGAGACTTCTCTGCAATTATAGGACCTTTTATGTAACCTGGAATTGTAAGGCAAAGAAACATTTTACTCCCCCATGTCACCTTTTTTCAGGTTATTTTTATCACAGCAACAGAAATGAAATTAGGACACAGCTCAGCAGGTAAAGGCACTTGCCACCAAGTTTGACCACATAAAACCAAGACTTAGGGCTGGCATGGGTGTAGAACAGACTCCAGCAAGTTTGTCCTGTGACCTCCATGTGCACACACACAAAATAGATAAAATATGAAATGGAAGGGTCACAGAAATGAACAAAATTGACATGAAAAAATATGTAGAATCCATGAAATGACAGGAGCAGCAAATCCTTACCCAAGCTAACCAACACTGAGAGAAGCCCTAAATCAACAGAATCAGAGATAAAACGGGAACCACTGCAAGATACCAATGAAATCCCCATCCCCAGGACAACCTAAAAGAAATGGACAAGGATACAACCTGCCAGTTACATAAGGAAGACAAATTATTTAAACAACCATATAACAAGCATCAATACAAAGAGATAAAAACAACAAAAAAATTAAAACAACATAAAAATCTTCCAACTAAAGAGTTCTGTGGTGACTTTTTTTTTTTCTTTTTTTTTAATAAAGATGCCTTCCACAGGCTCATATATTTGAATGCTTAGTCACCAGGGAATGGCACTCTTTGAAAGGATTAGAAGGGTTAAGTGTGATCTTGTTGGAGGAAGAGTGTCACTAGGGAGTGGACTTTGAGGTTTCAAAAGCCCATGCCTGTTGGGAACTGAGGCTGGGTCTGTGATCAGTTATGGAACGAACCTTGGCTGAACTCTGGCTGTTTCTCTTGGCTGTACATTTAGAGCCTTCAGTTATACCATAAAGGTTTGATGATTCAGTAACTAACCCTGTTTAGTAAGATCAGCCACTAGCCCCATTACCCTATATAGTAACCTTTCTTGTTCTCATAACTGATCTTTCCATCATGCCAACATCCATTCTTTGTGATTTTCTATATTCTGCTTGCAAGAACACCTGCTCCCCAACTATTCTTCTTACCTCCCCTGCCCTCTCCCCTATATCCTGCTCTGCCAGCCTATATAATCTCCAGGTAGAAAAATAAAATTTGCCACTTGATCAGAATCCTGTCTGTGGTCAATCTCTGAGTCTCTTGTTCCCATCTCCCTCCCTTGGGTCTTTGGGTTATAGGTTGAAGTCTCAAGGGTCCAGCAGGCACATGCCAGGCCTAGGCACTCTCTCTCTCCTCTCTGTCTGTCTGTCTCTCTCTCTGCTTGTGGATCTTAGCTACTGCTCCCACATCTGCCTGCATGTCACCACACTCTCTGCCATTATGGTAATGACCTAAGCCTCTGAAACTGTAAGCAAGCCCCAATTAAGTGCTTTATTTTGTAAGAGTTACCTTGGTCATGCTGTCTCTTCACAGCAATAGAACAGTGACTAAGACAAACCCAAACCTTTAGGAAAAACAGTATTTCTCAAAGGTATTATATAAAACAACTTAAACAATAAAGCCAGTTTGCCCTACCACTAGCATCAGATAAAGATACTACAAAGAGGCCTTGTCCACCGCTGCTGCCTCCTACTGCCGCTGCTGGTGCTGCTGTGTGCTCCTTCAAGGCGGACCTGGTGCCTCTTTTGTAAAGCGGCAGCTGAGGAGACTCCGGCGCTCACCATGGCCAACGAGAAACCCAAGGAAGGAGTCAAAACCAAGAACAACGATCATATTAATTTGAAGGTGGCGGGGCAGGATGGTTCTGACATGCAGTTTAAGATTAAGAGGCATACACCACTTAGTAAACTAATGAAAGCCTATTGTGAACGACAGGGATTGTCAGTGAGACAGATCACAGATTCCTGTTTGATGGACAACCAATCAATAAAACAGACACACCTGCACAGTTGGAAATGGAGGATGAAGATACGATTGATGTGTTCCAGCAGCAGACAGGTGTCTACTAAAAAGGAAACCTGCTACTTTACTCCAAGAATATATTCACAGTTAAAAAGCCGCAATTTGGTTCTGCCACATCCTGACTACTATAACATAGCTTTCTCTGTTCTTTCATTTTCCTGTCCCCATTTCTTTATTGTACATAAAGTAACTGGTGTATGTGCACAAGCACATTGTGCTTTTTTTTTCTTAAACTGAATGGCCACTGTTGTGTTTTGACTGACATCAGATGGAGATGGTGGGGGGAGGGGTACTAGTTCTGTGAGAATATCCCCCTTTCTCCATCAGTGGCAAGCTCATTCAGCTCTTTATATTCCAGTAAGTTATCTTGCTCACAATGTTTTAACAAAAGAACCCAACAACAAAATCCTTGCATACCTTGTTCGATTGGAGAATTTTAATGTTTTTCATTTATCATTGTAAAACCAAGGACAATTTTATAACTTTTTGTACGTAGCTGTTACATGTAGGGCAATCTGTCTTTACGTAGGGGTAAATTACTCTTGAACAAAATGATCCTAGATAGTTTTCCCTTCAAGTCAAGCGTATTGTTGTTAAAATAAACTTCTTGTAAAAGAATATATATATGTGTGTGTGTGTGTGTGTGTGTGTGTGTGTGTGTATTACAAAGAAAGGAAAATTATAGCTCTATCTCTCTAATGAACACAGATTTAAAAATTCTCAATGCAACACTTGCAAGCCAGGCTGGAGAGATGGCTCAGAGGTTAAGAAATTTACTGTTCTTCTAGAGGACCTGCATTTGATTTCTAGCACCAAAATGGCTGTTCACATCCATCTGCAACTCCAGTTCCAGGGGACCCTCCAACCTCTTTTGGCATCCTTGAGCAACAGGCATGCACTGGCTTACATACAGGCAAAGCACCCATGCACATAAAAATAAGCCTTTTATTATTAATGCAGAAAAGGGTTTTGATAAAACATCAACATTTGTTCCAGAATTATTCACAATAGCTAAGTTACAGAACTAACCTAGTTTAGTTTATGTACACAATGATTTTTTTCCTAACCATAAAGAATGCAGTTATGCTGTCTACAGGAAATTGAATACAGATGGAGATACTCACCTTAAGGGAAATAAGTCAGTCTCAGAGAGACAAATACAAGTTTTCCCTCGTTTATGGTTCCTAGATTTTATATAGGCACTTAAAATTACACACATATATATGGCATGGAAGTAGAGGCAGAACTGTCTAGAGAAACAAAGGGAATAACAGGACACAGAGAAAAAGAAAGGTGTGAGGGCATATGGTAAGAGGGAGAATATGTTCCATGTACATTGTGTACTTGTATAATTATTTGCTGATATAAGAAAGTACCATATACAATGAATATTGTCCTGAAGCATTTTAAGATATTTAATAGGTGAGGATACTGATCTTTAAACTAGACAGCTTTGTAAAGTTGGCGTTTTCCTTTTAGGGCAACGAAAAGCCATTCGAGGCTTTTAAGCAGGAGAGTGGCTTGTTTTGACATACTTTTTTTAAAAAATGACGAGGGCGCTGGGAAAATAGTTCAATCCGTAAAGCTTGCCACTTACTTGCTGTATAAACAGGAGGCCTTGAATTCCACCCATGGTAGCAACTGAAGCAACAACTGCCTGAAATCCCAGGGCTGGGGAGACAGAAATGAGACCTCGGACTCCCAGGTCCGCCAGCCTAGTCTAATCTGTGGTCTCCAGGTCCCTAGTGCGCTCACGCATGCACACAATCATGGTGTGGAGAGCTGAAGTACTTTAAAATACTGTATGGGGTGGAGATAGAAGATCGGTTAAGAAACCTTTGCAAGCAAGAGATAACTGTGACTTGGGCAAGAGATGGAACTGTAGTGGACATAATCAAGATACTGTTAACTGGTAAAGAGCTGGATAGCTTATGCAGGAAGCAAAGTTAAGCGGAGAGGCTTTGCTAAACAACTAGTTTTCTGTGGTAAACAAAACTGGAGAAAAGAACATCCAACGAACAAGCTCTACTCCGAACTATAATAATGGCTTTTATTGATTGAATGCTTACTATGTGCAACTCTGCTGGGAAACTTACAAAAAATATTTTTTTTCAATTAAAAATTCCCAACACTACCAAAATTAGTTTTGTCGAAAACAGGTTCGGAAATGGGGTGGGGGGTGGGGTTGTCTCACCGCTGCGAAGTGCTGGAAGCCGAATCTGAACTTAAGTCGGTCTCTGCGGCGGCTTCTCTATAAGGTACCAGGCCTCTTTCCTACGAGATCGAGATTATTTGAAATAAGTTTGTTCTCTGAGTTCGTACCCCTAGGCAAGGCGCCCTCACGTACTTGGGCACCAAGTAATCGCCCACCCTCCTGGGGTTGCACCTCAGCGAAGGAGCACGTCCCGAGCACACACGGCGTTGTTTCCAGACTGGCAGCCGAGTTAAGACCTCTTGCAAACAATTGGTCAGAGCTGGGAAGGAGTCTCCCGATTGGTGGACACTCGGGTTTCCTCGCAGAGCGCTCCCCTCCGTCTGAGATTTTTCTCCTATTCGCAGGCACTTCCGGGCGTCGCGGACCTCTGACGTTTCCTCTTCCCATTGGCCGGCAGCCGCGGCAGCAGGTCCGTTGTCTGACTGGCTGCCCGCGCCGCCTCGGAGGTGAAGTGTACCGCGCTGATTGGCTGCAGAGTGGCGGCCGCGTGTGATGTCCTCGGCGGCGATTGGCCCACGCCTGGCTGCTCGCCGGCTCTGGGGCTCCCGGAAAGTGGCAGCTGAGGAGGGGGCGCGCTAGCTGTCTGGGCGGCCCGGCAGGAGACCCGGGCGTGAGACGGCCTCTCAGCGGCACGGGAGGCTGAGAGTGCGGGACCAGGCGACACCATGGCCCCGCAGAACCTGAGCACCTTCTGCCTGTTGCTGCTGTACCTCATCGGGGCTGTGATGGCCGGGTGAGGAAGGGGCTCCGCGCGGCACAGGGCCCGAGGGGCGGCCTTTGCTGAGAAGGATGCGGGTGGCATCGAGGAGGGGGCAGTGAGGGAGCGGCACTGGCGACCCGAGGGACGGAGGGGCAGTGAGGGCCAGGCTGACCCTGCGGAGTTGGTTGCAGTGCCAAATACTACGTTTGTGCATTGGAAGGAGTTAAGTGGCTGTGAACAGGAGTAGAGTCACGGAACTCCGAGGAAGGGAAGGCTCCCGATGGAAATGAAGGTAGTGAATGCCAGGCTGGGGTTGAAGTTGTGGACACGTCTTTGCTGAACTGGAGGGAGGGTGGGGCGGTGGGATACCTGGCTTGCAACAAGCCTCCGAGGGGCTGACACTAAAGTGGGTGGGCCATGATGCTCTAAGTCAGATGCAGGTAAGAAAGCCAAGCTCAGACTGGAGGGAACTGGCTTGCTTGAGGAAGCAACAAGATCCCTTAGAGAATCTTCGTACTTCCCACCTTCTTGAGCTAGCAAGCCTGAACTGTCTGTCATCTTACCTCGCTGTCTGTCTCCATGGTTCCTTGAGCTGGATGGTATGAATAGGAAGAGCACTTTACTAACGGGTGATAAAAACTAGGATTCTAGCCATTTGCGAATCATACAAGTTTGAAGGAATTTTACCGATGTTCTGAAACCAAGGGGAAACATTGTGCCTTCAGGGAGAAAGAGCAGACTTTGAGATTCTCCCGGCATTTAAAATGCACGACCCTATAGTTCCCATGGCTCAGGATACTGTGTAGCAGACTTGTGTTCTTGAGTGCTGTCAACCTTCATCCCAGCTTTTGGCGGGTGAAAACAGGTGGATCCGAATTCAAGGTGATCTTCAGCTCCAGAGGGAGTTTTGGACTTGCCAGGCCTATATCATCCCCTATCTCAAATAAATAAGTGACCACAAAAATAAAAACATACCAAAAACTAGTGGATGTCAGAGTAGATGACAATCTGTAGGTTGCTACATTCCCTCGAATAGCTTTTAAAGTTGTTTCCTTTATACTTTTTGCTCTTTGCCTGTGTGCTTAAATTTTGTCATTTTTTTTCCTTACAAAATACTTTAAATTTCTAAAAGTTCACATTTCTTACATATGTTTTATTGTCTCCCCCTTAGTTTGATTAAGCATGAGTACCCAAAGTATTTAACAAAACATGAACATAAAATTTTGGAGTTGGAAGTTGAGGTATTCTTGGTCTCCAACTCAGGATGTAGCTGGGGCAACCTTGAGCTCATTCATGCTCCTTTAGTCACCAATTCCCACAAGCTAGGATTGCGGGCATGAGGGACCACTCCCACAAATACTAATAGTTTTTAATGCTATTGCTTTAAACTTCAGTCACTCATAAAGTAGACACTGAGCTATAACAGCCATTTTTCAGAGCTGTCATTTAAACTTTTTCCCCTTTAAAAACAATATTTTGCTTATTCTCTGACAATTTCATATACATACAATATAACCATACTTACACACACACACTCCCCCTGAGGAGCACACACATGCTCCTTCTCACTTCTTATAACTCACTCAGTCCAGTCAGTTGGTGTGATTGCTGGAGTGCTGACTGATGGCTTGCTCTTTGTGAAGGTCTTGTTCAGGTAGCCAAGACTTGAGTGAATTTGTGAGTCCATTTCCAGAAGACAGAATCTGACAACACTCCTCCCCTTCCCCTGCTTTTACAGTCTTTCTGCCCAACCTCCCAGAGTGTTCCCTGAACCTTGGGGACTTGGAGAGAGGCGGGGAAGGTTGAAATAGATGTTCTGTTTAAGGCTGAGCACGCAACAGTTACCTATTCTCCACACTTTGGCCAATTATGTTGATGCATTTACTACCACCTGTAGAAAGAAGTCTCTATGACCAAGGCTGAGTGTGTGTGAATCTGTAGATATAACCTAAATATTACACCACAAAACAATAGTAATAGGTCTCCCAGTCCCCAGGGCCTGTGACCTCCCGAGCCATGGGTTTTCAGATCTACAGTGCCAGATAGGGATTCCCTTCTGTGGAGCAGGCCTCAAGGCCAGTCAAAAAGCAGTGGGTTAACCCCACATTCTTCGCTATTGTACTGGATGTGGGTACATGTTGCTTTTTTTGGTCAATAGTAGTAATTTTTTTCCTCATACAACCTACATAAACTTCTGGTGCTGTGAAAGCTGGCCAGGAGGCAGGCAGTTTGAATGTCACCTCCAGCTTGATTTCTGTATGTCCAGTAATCAGAGTGTGTGTCATCATCAGTGGGGTCTTCCGTCTACTTATGATGGGCAATGGTGGAGCCTCTTGTTTGGGGGCCTCCCTGACTCCTAACTCATAGGGAGTTTTCCCATACCTGGCACTGAGATTTTCACTTCATAATCTAGTTCTAAGGGAAACATTGTCCACTCAGGCAGGGTACCTATGTTCAGAATCTCCCATCTTTCTGTGTTTGTGTATCTGTCTCTCTCTCTAAGATTTTATTTTTAAGTACATGTACATGTGTGTCTGTGTGTAGGTGTGAAAATGTAAGTGTGGGTGCCCATGGAAGGAAGAAAAGAGTGTTGAATTCCCTGGAGCTAGAGTTAAAGATAGGTGTATATCACCCATCATGGGTGCTGAAAACAAAATGCAGCTCCTCTGTCAGAGTAATACAACTGTAAGATATGGTTGGGGCCACTTTATATATTTTTTGAGTTAGTTACCAAAGTAGTGACTTTGCATGGGTTTTGTTGTTTGTTTGTTTTAATTTTTAGTTTTGTTTAATCAACCCCTCTCCAAAAGCATTACTTAAGTAAGTCTCATTACATAATTGGCCTATTCATTATTAAACAGCTGGTTCCTTTCTCATGAGATGTTAAGACTTTACAGATTAGATAGGAACTTCCTGTGGGTGATAAGTTTTAAAAATGGTATAGTTCAGCTGGGCCTGGTTGCACACACCTTTATCCCAGCACTTGGGAGGCAGAGTCAGGCAGGTGTCTGTGAGTTTGAGGCCACCCTGCTCTACAGAGTGAGTTCCAGGACAGCCAAAGCTACAGGGAAACCTTTTCTCAAAAACCAAAATTATATAGTTGAGCAGGACATGGTTCATAAACCTATAAATTCAGCATTTACGAGGTAGAGGCAAAAGGTCAGGAGTTCAAAGCAACATAAAACCCTGTCTATAAAAACCAACCCAAAACCCTGACAAAATGATTAAAATAACTAAATTACTTTTCAAACAGTGTGACTGGGCTATAGGTGTGTGCCATCATGAATTCAAGGCTTCATGAGTTAGAGGCAAGCACTTTACTGACTGAGCCACATGCCAGGCCATAAAATACATTTTTTTAGTATTCTCTAATGTCTTGGTTCCCCAGTTCATTTTCCCCATACATTTTAAGATTACCATCCATACTATGTTAGTGTCTATTATGTGACTTTTCTAGCCCCAATATTGAGATAATGTTTCCAGAATAAATTCCAGTAGCTAAAATTCTGACAACAAGAGTAGATGCTGTGAGCATTCGTGTGTGTTCAGCTTATTCAGGAGAATTTACTGGTCTCTTCAATGAGCTGGAGGTGGCCTTTCTCTGGAATGTCTTTTATAGTCTTATTTTAGCTTTCCATTAACACTTCCTGCAGAGAACCCTTTTATGACTGATCCCAGCGTAGTCCCTGCCCTTGTTCTCTATTTTATGTCCCAGTTTATATCATATGCATATTATCAACCACCAGACTATAGAGGCTCCTGTATGTGAACTTTAGAGCCTGCCTATCTATCATAAAGACTCAATTTTGGCAAGTTAGTGTAGTTACTGGCGGTGAGTATATGAAATGTACTTTTTTCCATCCAAATACACTATAATCCTTACATACAGATGAATGTTGTTCTTCCTTTAGAGTTATTATGTAGACTTTGCTTAACCTTTATTTTAACTCCTTAAGTCAGTCCATATTTAATGTTCCCAAAGTGCTACTGTTAGGACATTTATGTGAAATAATCTTTGTGAATAAAGATAACTCTTGAAATTATTTGACCTTTGGAGAAGTCACTGGGGTGGGGCTGGAGAGATGGCTGGCCAGTTAAGGGCACTTGCTGCTCCTGCAGAGGTCCCACGTGGTGGCTCACACCCACCTGAAATGTCAGGTCCAGGGGATCCAGCTTTTCTCAACTCCCAGGGTACCTGCACTCAACCCACACATCAACACACATATGTGCTCATAATTAAAAATAAAATTATTTTTAAAAAGCATTTGGAGCCAGCATAGGGAGTAAAGAGAGAATTAATTAGATTTTTGGTTTTTAGCTGGAAGTAACATAGAGCCTTAAAGCACAAAAATAGTCTCTCTGCTGAAGGTAACTCCAAAAGGAGAATGCCGCCAGTG